CGGTCGAATGGCCTTTGAAACTCAGAACGGTAAACTGAAATGTTCTGGGATGATCCGATTTCTCCCTGAGTAATCTGCTGGAGCTGCCGAACGAATCACCTCCCCCTGCGTGGCGGCCTTACCCGCTGAAATTCATTTTATCGCCCTTCTGGTAGCTACAGTCCCGGAGCCAGAAGCTGTGGGGTGGGCTTCTGGCGAGGCCTCTCCTCCAGCGTGTGGTCTGTGGCCTCTCGCTGGGCTCAGGTGGCCTGTCCTGCGCGCCCCTTCGCGGAGCCCGCCTGGTTCGGGGACCCAGTGCTGTCAGGGCAGGGACTCCCCAAGGACCTTTTTTTTTTTTTTTTAAAAGCTCAGCTTTTTATTGAATGTGTTGCAAAAGAGATTTAGTCGAAGAGACCAAAGCCCTTGTCCTGCGCAGATGCCTCAGGTTCTCCTTTCTTGCTCCCACTGTTTTTCCTGAGCGGGGGCAGCAGCGGCGGAAGGGCAGGACCTCTGCGGGCGCAGCACCAGCTGCCGGGGCAGGCCCGCCAGCCCCAGCGTTGCAGAGGGGGCTCCCCGTGGGGGCGTCGGCCAGCGCCTTCGCGCACAAGCCTGGCCGGAAAGGTCCAACGCGCACACCGGCTGCTTTAATGCGGGCATTGACCTTATCCTCCGTCCCCGTCCCCTCCCCGTGCTGCAGGGCACGAGCCGAGTGGACGCCGGCGAGCTCGGCAGAGGCCGTGGTGTGGGCGCTGGCCCGCGGAAGAAGCGAGGGCCTCGCCCCAGCGTGGCCTTAGCTTCCTCGGAAGGACCGAGCACCTCAGCGGCCGCTGGGGAAAGGTTTTTTGTTTATTTTTCCTTCACTTCATTTCAACCTTAAAAGTCCTGTCTTCAGACAGAGTCGCTTTCGGAGGGGTTCAATGTACGCATCTGGGGGGGATGCGGTCCATCCGTAACCCCCGCTCCGGCGTACCAGTGTCTAAAAGGGTTCATTCCTGGGCGTGGACGTGATGCGCGTATTCCTTGATGTGAACACGGAGGGATTGTCGAGGGAATGGTACATGCGTGTGCTGTGAAAAAAGGGGGGCAACAAAGCCCGCAGCAGCAGGTTATTACCTGGATGTCAGGGGAGCCTCTCTGCTTCTTAGCATTGAAGTAAGATTTGTTCAAGTCCCTGGGCCGCCCCCGCAGGAGTTCTCCCCACTCGCGGGAAGTGTCCATTCTCACGTCCGCCGGTCCCCGGCGCGCCGGCCGCAGAGGGCTTTGTCCTCCACCGTCGGGCCTGGCGCTGGGCGTTCCCCTGCGCGCAAGCTCGCGCAGGAGCCCGTCACCGCGTCGCGGATCTGACAGGCACGAGACGCCCGAGTCCGCGATGAGGGGCCTTGTGTCTCAGAGCGCGGCGGTCGGCGCGAGCGCGGGCGCAGGCCGTCAGCTCCCTTTGTGCCCCCCTCGAGGGGGCTGCGGGGAGGGGCCCACGCGGACACGGGCACACGCAGCTGGTGCACTGCAGGCGGCGCGCGCTGTGCCTGGGGACCCTGCTGTGTTTGTCCTGGCGAGAGAAGCTGGCCAGCCCGCTCCTTGTCCCCGAGGGCGGGGCTGCCTTCCCCGAAGGCTGCGGGCTGCAAACCCGCCCGGGGGGTGGCCCAGTGCCCGGCGCGTACCCATTGTCTGGGACTGAATGGTGCACCCCCCAAAAGGTATTTCCGTGCCCTAGTCTCCCAAATCTGGGAATGTTACCTTGTTTGGAGAGAAGGTCTCTGGCGGTTGCCCGTGGAGTCTGTTGGTAGACACAGGGATGCGGAAGCTGCTTCTGGGGGGAGCTCCGAGTTAAATGGGGAACGTGGGATTGGAACCTGGAGGAGAGGGGACGCTTGGTAGGCCGTGGCAGAACATGTGGCCTCCTCGTGTCCTCCAGATGCGTGGGATGGGGAGCTTTAAGCAAGGACCTTAGATATTTAGCAGAGGGGCTTTCCAAGCAAAGTGTTCATAGTGCGGCCTGCTCTTTCCTTGCTGAATGTGGTAAAATGCAAGAGGAGAGATAAAAGACAGTAGTTAATGATTGGAGAAAATCTCAGCCTATCCAAATTACAAAAAATTAAAAATTAAAAAGCTAATAAAAAAGCCAGAAAAAGACTCATTGTTGGGCAAGTGCACTCGGAAGAGGCCAGGCGTGGGCGGAACACATCTGTCTTGCTGCGCAGCCCGGGCGGGCGGCTCCCGGGCGCCGGCAGCCGTCTCCGCGAGGCCGGCAGGGGACGCGGCGCGGTGTCCAGGGAAGGCCTGGGGAGAGCTCTCCTTCTAACGGCATGGACCGCCCCCCACCCCGCAGACCTGCGAGGGCTCCAGGGCTGCGGTCTCCGCAGAAGCGCTGCCGTCTGCGGTGGAGGGGGCTGTGCGGCCGCAGAGGACAGAGCCTTGCGCCCAGGGCTTCGTGGTCCGGCCTCGACCCCGGACGGCGTTGGACCTGCTAGGGTAAACTTCCTCGGCCCGGACGCCCCTTTATTCCTTCCGATGTCTCCCGTGAGAAGTGGGGATGTCTAGGGCATGCCTGCCCCCGCCCCCCCCACCCGGCATGTTCTAGAAGCACATAACCTGTTTTCTAGGTTCACAGAACCTCAGAGAGAGAAGGTTTTGCCTTAGAACGGGTCATACCTGGTCTCTCCGATCCCTGACTTCGTGAGGCTGTGTCTCCTGGGCTCTTGGACACTCTTCTCCTGGGCAGCTCTGCTGTCCCCTGTGGCTCGGGGGCTGCCTCATAGCCCTGCTGCCCCTCTGATGCCCAGCTCGCTGTCCTACCTCCCCGCTCTCGCCAACACCCCTGCAGCTCCCGAGGCCCAGTTCCCACCAGGCACAGGAGAAATGTGCTCCACGTCCTCAAGGAGGCGACCCCTGAGCCTGCTCCTCATAGATTCGGGCCGTAGAGTTCGTATTATATATTATATTATATTATATACAAGCACACACACGTACATAGATAACTACCCATGTGTATGTATGTATATGCTATATGCACACATATACCATAAAATTTAACTGCCAGAGGATAAAATGAACTCCATCATGATTTCATGTCGCTACTGATCTGCCAGGGTCTAATTAACGGGAAAAAATGACATCATTATACATGGAGTCATACGTGGCCTTTCCAGCATGAGACATTTTAAAAGTGGGGGAGCAGTTTGACATCATCTCCCTCAGCTTTTACTAGTGTGTTAGATAATTGGTTACACATTTCAATAGCATTTTTGAATTCTGCAAAATGGGGTGGCATTCAACTGTTCGTTGGAAATGCCAGTTTTCTGAATGTTTGGTCTAGTTCTCTGCTTCGTTTGTGACTTTATATATGTATTTGTTTTGGGGTTGGTTTTTGGGTTTTTTTTGCATTTTCTTTCCTCAAAAGTAAACACACTTGCCCTGGGCAGGGAGCTCATTGGGTTAGAGTGCTATCCTGATACGCTAAGGTTGCGGGTTTGCTCTCCGGTCACAGTGCATACAAAAAGCAGCCAATAAATGCATCAATAAGTGGAACAACAAATTGATCTCTCTCTCTCTCTCAAAACTAAAAATGAGCAGTGGTACCTCTGAACAAGGTGTTAAGGAGAAAATTTGCACGTGTAGCCCGTGTGGATTTTGCCACCGAGCATTTCAAAAACGTTGTTTGTTGCCTCCCTGGCAGCGTGTGTTTCTAAAACGTAACAGGCTGTGCTCCCTGGCGGGCACAGACCCGGGGCAGAGTGAATGACTTGGGCACCTAGAGAGGGAACTCTTTCCGTCCCCAAAGCGCCATCAGTGACCTCGGCGACTGCGCTGCTCCCTTGGGGCCCTGGGCAGCGTGGGCTCTGGAGCGCAGACGCAGGGGAGGGAGCCCTTCCCTCTGCGCTTTCTGTGCCCAAGTCACAGACTCAGGGTGCTGGGCACGCCCAGTGCTGCCCAGGGAGTGGGCTGTTCCCTTGTGAAAACTCGTGAGGGTGGGACTGCGATGTCGGTTGTAAGTCCGCTCTGCCTTCAGTGCCTGCAAAGCTAAGTGACGGTCTCAAACAGCAGAAAGCGGGGCCGTCTCAACAGAGCGCCCAGATCCAAGCACCCTGCTTTCTCTTGGCAAAGGGCAGGGCGAAGGGCGGGGAAGGGGGGGGAGGGCAGCGAGCATTCATGGTCTCGGTGCAGAAGGAGCCGGAATCGACCCAGCTCTCTCCCCTCATTCTCTTTCCATTAGAAACAGGGTTTTTTGTTTTGTTTTGTTTTTCTTTTTTAATGTCTATCAAGGCCGCGTCCTTCTTGGTCTTTGTTTTTGAAAATGACGGTCGTTTGAAAGAAGCGTCCAAAAGCCAAACCACCTTTGACAGTTCCCGCTGGAGTCAAAGGGCAGCGACACCTTTCCTACATTTTCACCCTCGAACAACAACGATCTCTGCTGAAAGGAAGTGGCGCAGTTTCCAGGCGCCAGGATCCCGCGCCCTCCTGTGAGGGTGTCAGTGTGGTTCATCCGCAGATGCTTCGTAGAGGCCACGGAGGCTCTTGCAGAGAGTCAGCAGGAGCGGGAGTGACCTTCAGCCCTTGCCCTGGGTGGCTCCGAGCCTTTTCTTCTTAGAAGGGACAAATAGAACTGAAGTTACTTAAAAATCCCTAGTGGCGACATGGGAGATGAACCCAGAGGTGGAGAGTCCAAGCCTTGACCCGGACAGCCTTGTGCCCAGATCCTGTCCTCGCTCTTCCTATTTTCCACCCGTGACACATAACTTCTCCAGGGACCTCAGGGTTCCCTGGGGAACAATTAAAATGCCAGCAGCCCTCCCTTAAGGCTGCTTCTGAGGATGAGGAGATAATGAATCATGTATGTAAAGTGCTAAGCATGGTGCCAGGCCCCAAATAAGTACCCAGAAAGCAGTAGCTGCTATTTCTTGGTAAACTGCTAAGGAGAAGGGTTGTATCAGATAAGTTGTTTCTAGAATGGACATTAAGGATTATATTAAACATTTATAGTCACACATTGTAAATATGGGCTATGTTTTTATTTTTCTTAATAGGCATTTTAAATTGTTGTGTGGCCTACAATGTCGGTCTCCTGGAAGCAAAGGTATTTTCCGGTCCTGCGAGTGAACAGTTCGGCTATGCAGTGCAGCAGTTTATAAATCCAAACGGCAAGTGGTAAGAAGATTCTCTTCTTTGTCATTTCAGTAAAAACACTAAATATGTTTAATATTTGACTGCAATTGCTTGTTGAAATTGGAGCATGAATATATTATTGATGAGTAGACCTCAGATGTTTTAAGTTTTTTTATTGTTGTTCAATTACCGTTGTTCCCATTTCCCCCCATTACTCTCCCCTGCCCTGCCCTCCCCCACCTCCCACATTGAATCCCTGTCCCCTCCCCCCTGTTGCCTTTGACCATGGGTCCCTTACACATGTTCCTTGACCTGTCCCTTCCCCTTCTTTCCCATGTTACCCCCCTCCTCCCGCCCCTCTGGCCTCTGTCAGTTGGTCTTTATTTCCATGTCTCTGGTTCTGTTTTGCTCGTTTGTTTGTTTTGTTGATTAGGTTCCACTTAGAGGTGAGATCATATGGTGTTTGTCTTTCACCCCCTGGGTTATTTCACTCAGCATAATGCTCTCCAGTTCCATCCATGCTGTCGCGAAGGGTAGGAGCTCCTTCTTTCTTTCTGCTGCATAGTATTCCATTGTGTAAATGGACCACAGTTTTTTGATCCACTCATTTGGTGATGGGCACTGAGGCTGTTTCCAGCACTTGGCTATTGTAAATAATGCTGCTATGAACATAGGGGTGCACAGGTTCTTTTCAGTTGGTGATTCGGGATTCCTAGGGCCTAATAAAATGAAGGATTTTTCTTTGAGAGTTGGTAACTCTCAGATAGATAATTAATGGGATGGCATAATGCTACTTTCTAAAAACCCGAATAGAAAAGTTTCTCTAAATATTACATAGCAAATGCGTAATGCCGGTTTTGACCACTTAACTGAGGATAGATTTATCTCTATTTCCTCCTCTGTAAACCGGTAACGATGGAGCTTTGTAGATGTTCAGCTAGCTGGTGATGCTGCTGGGCCATTTCTAGATGATGGAATTGTTCTGTAAATTTTCTCCTTCAGCAAGGTTTTGTCTACTGGTTTCATTCGAAGTCAGTCTTCCCCTCCCCCGCCCGCCATATGGCGAAGGGTCCTCCCAAGCATTTGTGCAAAAGTTACGAAGGTCCCTTTCTCCAGTGCATTGAACATCTTTGGTTTTTCCCCCAAAAGTGCCCTAAGTTTTTTAATGCTGAGTCACGGTTCCATTCATAAACCACAGTTACAGTCACACAGGGTGGGCAAAAGTAGATTTACAGCTGAGAGTAGGCAAAACAATTTATTCTTGTATTATTATTTATTAATGAGTGCATTATTTTTCCATGCAAAAAACCCTAAACCGACTTTTGCCCCACCCCTTATACGGCCACCTTCATGGATACGGAAATATATCCTCCCATTGCGGGTTTAAGTTTCTCATGGTAACTATGAAAATAAACCCAGGCAGCTCTGAAAGTTGCCTTCAGGCAGAACTGTAGGTCCTCTTTGGCCGGAGCGGGCGCCCCCTGGTGGACAGGATCCTGCCAGTGCAAGCCCAGCGCCTGCGGCCGCAGGAGGCCCCAGCTCACCTGGAGCTTCGGGTCTGCCGCCCTCCAGAGCTCTTGGCAATGATTAAGGGGGCTCGTCAAATCAGAGCTATCATTTGTAACCTTTTCCCCCCTGCGGGAACTTATGTGTGATGCTCTAAAGAAATTAATTCAAAGACGCAGAATACAGACGGTTCCCATTTTGGAGCCTGGCTGCCTGTGATGGGAACGAAGGGAGTCGGGAGCCGGCCTGTAGGGGACGCGGTGGGCAGGCTGGAGACGGTGCTCCCGGGCGCCGGGAGCCTGGGCGAGCGGTGCGTGTGCGGAGAGTGTCAGTCCTGCCGAGGGGTAAGGGCAGTTTGGCCTGAAACGCCAAGGGCAGCAAGTACTGTCATCATTCGGGATTTGAGAGAAAGAAAGAGAATCTCTAACAAGTATCGAATTTCACTTGAGAACCATAAACCACAGGGAGGCTGAAGGAGTGTGGTTTGACCTTGGGACCTGGCAGGTAGACTTGCCCCAGGCCGCCCGCTTTCCGTAGCCACCCCGATTCTTTCCCAAACTGCAGACGCCCAACCAAACATCTCCACCTTAATGCCTACTGCATAGATATTATCAAACCTAACAGAGAGAACAGATATCTGATTTTCTGCACCACCTGATGAGGCCAAAGATCCATGACGCCTCTCCCCTCCTCCCCCGTATTCTGTGCACTAGCCAGCCCTGGTGACCCTCCCACCAAAATAGACACAACCGCCCGGCGCCCACCGCGGGCCTTGCAGGTGCTCAACCGCCTCCCGCCGCCCTCCCGGCGCCTCTTTACTCTCCCTGCTGCAGCCGGAGCGAGCCTTTTAAAACATGATTCCAATATTGTCGCTGCTGAGCTTAAACCTTGCAGTGGCTGTCCCCAGCCGTTAGAATAAGCTAACGCTCCTCAAAGGTGCTTCACGGCCTGGCCTCCGTGGGCCACTCCTGGCTCCTGTTCGACCCCTTCACCCTTGATCCCTGAGCCCCGAGAAGTCTGGCTCCCATCCCGAGCACACCAAGGCCATCCCTGCCTCGGGCCTTCTGCACGCGCCTCGGTCCTGGGAGGCGCGGCCCGCCCAAGACCTCCCCTCGGCAGGCGGTTCGTGTCCTTCTCTCAGCTCCAGGGTCTCCTGTCTGTGTCAGCGAGCGCTCGCCACCCCTCCCACTTGCTCTGCAGCACTTTCTGCCCATAGTGTCTAGAGCAGTTGCCGCTATCCAAAATAATCTCTGTTTCTTTAGATGCGCCTCATCTGTCTTCTCCCCTGCCTCTGGGTATAGGGATATTGTCTTGTTCACTCGTGCATCCTCTGAATCCAGTGTGCTCTCTGGCGTAGAGCAGGGGATCAATAATCATTTGCTGAATGACCGAATGGAAGCCCTATTTCCAAATGACTCACCCAAGGAACACTACAAAGTGCACTACAGTAGAATGACGGACGTAGTAGCCGAACAGGACCTGCAGGCGTGCTCTGATGGTCTACTTCCTGGGTGGGGCCTTGCTGAGGACGACCTGCCGTTAAGCTCGAGGTTATTTTTTGTAAGGGACAGTTTTCCTGGGACAGGCCACCTCTAAGAGAAGGAATCACCATCCGTCACAGGTGGATCAGAGGCAGGAAGCCTGTCATGGATTGTAAGGAAACTTGGCCACTGGCCACACTGCACGTGGGAGGTGGGGCAAGACCACAAGGGACAACAAGGTGACAGGAAGCCAGCAGGCAGAGGCCTGGGCCGCGGGAGCGGCAAGCCCACCCCGTCTCTCTCAGGGTCCCCTCCAGCGCGCAGACCACTGTGCAGAGGCCCATGGGCTGGCGGTTTATCGTGGGATTCTGGTGCGAGTGAGGCCAAGACCAGACATTCCCAAGTCCCCCCTTGGCCTGGTCTTGACGTTCCTGAAAGACATATAAACACAAGGCAGTGGCTGTTAGGAAACGAGGTACTACTGTTCGTTAATTGGCTGGGCTCCTGCTTTACCCCTGCACAGAGCTTCCTGGGAGGGTGCAGAGTCGGCCTTCCGAGCCTCCTGTCCCCCCAGCCTGGGTTCAACCACCAGCTGGTGCCAGCACCCCCGCCCCCTCAGAGGGAGGGGAAGGTGAGTCCCCAGACGGCCAGGCTGGGGCCTTGCCCTGGTGTGGCCTCGTAAGGCAGAGGAGCAGAAGGGGCCAAGTCACGGGCCGCAGGCTGGGGCAGGGGAGGCGCGGAGCGCTCACCGCGGACCAGGGCTTTGAGGCCGTGGAGCGGCGTGAGGCCGCGAGGACGCGCTCGGGGCGCAGTGGGCGGCCGCGGGGGACGGCAGTGTCCGCCCCTTCTCGTGGGTGTCACTTCAGTGTCCTCGCTGTGGTAACTCCCTGCGCACAGCTCACGTCCGCTTCCCGACCCTGGACCCTGGGGGGGCAGGGTGCCCTCCCGGCGCCCCTTTGTGGCCTGGCCCTGCCCCAGGGACTGGCCACGGGGGCGGGGCCGTGGCAGGACCCAGGCGAGCGGGCGTTCCCGCCAGGGCCAAAGTGGCCCGCGATGAGGACAGTGTCCTCCCCAGCCCTCAGGCCTGAGGGACATGGCAGGAGACCCGGAGTCCAGAGTTGCCTGCTGTCTGGGCAGTTGGCGCTGCGCCCTCCCCCACTCCTCATTTACCGCAGCTCCACGGACGTTGCGGATGTAGCAGACGTGGGACGGACTTTTTTAAACATTAACTTCCCTTCTGATACCAATCGAGTTCCTTGCAGGCCCAGAAAGCGCTATTGCTATGAATTCCTTTAGTCACTGTGAGCTTTTTCCCTGTAAACCTTGTATCCGTAACGCACACCCCCCTGTATTTTCGTTCCTCTCCGGCCTCTCGTTGGGAAGCCGCTGTTCGGAGGCGCCCTCCACTGCGCACGCCGCCTGGCCGGCTCGCCGCCCCGCGGAGCCCGGCCGCGCGTGCCCCCTCCCCCGCCAGCGCGCCTGCTGCTGCCGCCTGCGTCGCCTACGAGTCGCACTTCGCTGTCTTTCCAGCGTACGTTACCTGTTTCACGGGGCCCACGTTTCTAAGCATGTACAGGCACATTCTCCATTGGTGTGTACACCACGTTAGCAAAATGTTTCACTGGTTTTATGTGCTAGGTTTTTCTTACTATGCTATGAAATTACTATGCTATGCTGCTCACTCCGGAAACTCTGCTGGCACGGCCCTGAGAACTCGGGAGCCTTTTGGATGGTCTCTGGTGGTTTTCAAAGCAGGTTCCCCCCGAAGCGGAGCACCGGGGCACCCCTCGGTCCTCAAGGACCGTCGTGGTCTGTTCCCCGGCCACGGGGCCTGAGGGTCATCGGGTCATCTGCCTGGGAGTTGTCCCTCATTTCACACACAGGTTGTTTAAGTGCAGATGATGCAATGCTTATCACACACAATCGCACAGAGAGCGGACGTGTGTTTGAAACCCTTTCCTGGAAGCTCACAGTACACATACCGGGTCTGTCTGTCCCCCCCTAAGGCCTATCCCAGGGACACGCTGAGCTCATTTTATGAGTCAAATACATGAG